TTTGTGATTTGGACGATCATATAGTAGACGAAGCTCCGAATAGCCTTCCTTCGAGATCGACCCGAGTCGGGTAACTCGGTTATCCTTTGCCCATCATTATTATACTCAACACTCGCCTCATCACCTTGTATCTTTTGTGGAGGTGGTGTTGATGGTGGTGTCGGTTGCACCGTGCCTTCTTCATCTTCATCAAATAATGGACCATATTGATCATTTTTATCTTGTCTACTCCAGTTCCAAACGCCTTCTTCGTCAAACTCCACATCTCGGCTTATCAAAAGCTTTCGGTTGCTTGGATTATATAACTTGTAGCCTTTTGAATAAGTATCATAGCCGATGAATAAATACTTTGCACTCTTATCATCGAGCTTCGTGCGCTTTTCATCCGGGACATGCATGTAAGCAATGCTTCCAAAAACTCGCAAGTGTGAAATTGATGGTTTGTAGCCACTCCAAGCTTCTTGTGGCGTCATTCCATGGACACTCTTCGTATAGCACCGGTTCATCAAGTAGACGGCACACGAAACAGCTTCAGCCCAATACTCCTTCGGCATATTCTTGCTTTTCATCATACTTCTTGCCATGTTGAGGATCGTCCGATTTTTTTCGTTCAGCGACTCCATTTTGTTGAGGTGAGTATGGGGTCGTCATAGGACGATGAATGCCATTTTTCTCACAAAATTCTTTGAATTCGTTCGAAGTGAATTCACCACCTCGATCGGACCGAAGCGCCTTGATCCGATAACCACTTTGATTTTCCACCATCATCTTGAACTTTTTGAAGGTAGAAAACACCTCAGATTTTTCCTTCAAGAAATACACCCACGTCTTCCGAGAATAATCATCAATGAATAGCAAAAAATAATTATTTTTGCCAAGAGAATTTGGTTTGATTGGCCCACACACGTCAGAGTGAACCAACTCCAATGGATATTGCGCCCTTGTCGTCGACTCCTTTGGAAAACCCTTTCTTGCTTGCTTTCCATAAATACACCCTTCACAAAGTTGGTTCGGATGATTTATTGAAGGCAACCCCTTCACCATTCTCTTTTTGCACATCATTTGGAGACCATCAAAATTCAAATGTCCAAGCCTCAAATGCCATAGCCAAGACGAATCATTAAAACAAGACTTCAAGCACATCGGGACATCACTTTGAATGTTCAACAAAAACATTCGATTCTTCGTCATCGGGACTTTAACGAGCAATCTTCCGTCTTCATCTCTCATCGTCAAACTTCTATCTTTTAGTTGAATGTCATAATTTTTCTCCAAAAGTTGTCCCAAACTCAAAATATTGCTTTTCATCTTCGGCACATAAAAGACATTGGAGATAAATTGATGACTCCCGTCTTTCAAGCGAATCAAAATCGTACCTTTCCCTTTTACTTGTACTTTTGAAGAATCTCCAAAAGTAATGTCGCCACCAACAGACTCATCAAGTTCTGAGAATAAATTTCGTCTCCCGCATATATGACTACTTGCTCCCGAGTCAAGATACCATCGGCTATCCTCGTCTTTCGAATTCGTTTTGCATGCGAGAAGCAAAGTGGGATCTACGTCTTCATTGTTGTTACTCTCCATAAGATTACTTTTCTCCTCTACGTCACTTTGACACTCCCAGGCATAATGGCCATAGCGATGACAATTAAAACACTCAATGTTTGATTTGTCATGCCTTTGATTCGGCCTATATCCTCCACCTCTTGAGCCTCGACCTCGTCCACGTCCACGACCTCGACCTCTTTCTTGGTTTTTCATCGAGTCGTAATTATGCCTATTATTTTCATAATCATGTTGTCCTTGTCTTCCTCTTCCGCGTCCTCGTCCTCGTCCGCCGCCATGACCACGGGCACCTCCACGGCCTCGTCCTGAGTCGGTCTCTTTCTCTTTGATTGATAGCTTTGCTTTCAAAGCTTGCTCCACCGATTCTTGTGTTGGCGTCTTCAATCTCTCTTCATGAGCTTGTAGTGAACCCGCAAGTTCATCAATGGACATGGTGTCTAGGTCCTTCGACTCTTCAATGGCAACGACGATGTAGTTGAATTTTGGATCCAACGATCTAAGAATTTTTCCCACAACTCGATCATCTTTCACATCTTCTCCATACCTCTTCATTTGGTTGGTAATGGACAAGACTCTTGATATATAATCCGAAATGGATTCGGACTCCTTCATGCGGAGGGACTCAAATTCACCTCTTAATGTTTGGAGACGCACCTTCTTCACTTTGTCTACACCTTTGAATGAAGCTTGAAGAATTTCTCATGCTTGCTTGGAGGTGGTCGCCGCAGCAACCTTCTCGAACATCTTCTCATCCAAACTTTGATGGATAAGTGTGAGCGCCTTTTGGTCTTTTTTCTTCCCGGCCGCTTCACTTTCGTCGACTCCTTTTTCCACGGAGTCCCAACACTCATAGGCTCCAAGCAAAGCTCTCATACGTATGCACCAATTATCATAATTTTCTTTTGTAAGTGAAGGAACTACAAATGGGGTTCCGTTCGACATTTTTCAAGCCTCGATCTCCAAACAAAAAATGGCTCTTGATACCAATTTGTTGGAAAATGGTAGAGGAGAAGTAAAAAAAAAAAAAAAACTTTCT